ACCAGTCACTATGACGTGCATGGACCACCAGGGGGCACATGCTCCAATCAGTAGGTTAGCTTGCTGCTGGGGTCCAGCTAATTGGGACTGAGCAAGACAGGCCAGGCTTGCCCTGGAGCCCTCCCGCAGCCCCTCCCTGGCTGGCCAACCTCATGTGTCCCTCCCCAGGCCCCATCGTGCACCAGTGGGGTCCCTCAGCCTGGCCTGCACCCTCTCGCAATCCAGGACCCCTCAGGGGATGTTGGAGAGCTGGTTTTAGTCTGATCCAGCAGGCCAAGCCAAGGGACCCCACTGGTGCACGAATTTGTGCACTGGACCTCTACTCTATAATAATAATAAACACATGTAAAAGTATTTGTAAACAAATAAAGAACCATCAAATGTCGGGATTAAGATATTTTATTATTTCTCTCTGGAGCCCAGTTTCCTCATTTTAACAATGACAGATCTTTAGGTTTCTTCCAGTTGCAAACTTTTTTTTATCCTCTGTACTCAGAGAACAAGGGTTGTAATGAAATAAAATACTATAAAAGAGGCAGCAATAATGAATACGGAATCCAACCCCAGCAGCAATCTGCAGTTTCCTTAAACAAGTGCCTTGATTTTTCTCCCCCAACTAATTTAATCCCTAGTTCCTGGTACTTAAAGAGCTTTTGCTGACACTAGCTTGCTTGGATGTTAAAAGCATTAAAAATGGTATTTGCACCTTTTTGCTCCCCATTCTGGCTGCCCTCAGATTCTTCCAGAGTGACTTTCCTTGACACATTCTACTCATTTCTAATAGCTTTAATTTAACTTTCCACTCTTGATTTTCACAAGGGACCTCCACAGAAACGACCGACTTATAGAGAGACCAGAAGCTCCTGGGAAGCTGGATCTGGGCACCCAGGTTTAGGTCATGTGTGAAGTGTGTGCATCATCAGGTCTCTGCCGACTCAGGGTCAGTCCAGGATGTGGGTCTGGACCTCACCCAGGAAGGCTGGGCAGCAACTGGGCACTACACAGAGAATCCTGGAGGTGGCATGTGCAGATGCAGCCCAACCCTGTCTGGATGTAAGAAAAGCTGTTGCTGGCGGGAGAATCCCCACATCACAGCTACCCAGACAACTCTGGAAAGTTGATTACCTGAAAAAATTGCTCCCAGAAAGCCAAGGCCAACTTTTCAGTTCTTCGAAATCAAAATATTGAGAGAA